GTTGGATGGAGGTTTAATAAAATTTATTTGGTGTTCTCGTTCCCTGAATTGTTATGCCCTAATAAAGAATTTTTCATTTTAGTCATACTACTTGGGTCATTTAAGGTACCTGCTTTTGAAAGGGTCTATCCCTATTGTTTGTATTTATTAATATTGTCTGGTACATAGACCCACACCCTAATTTGGTGACTAGTAGACTATTTATTCAAATTGCCACCCATGTTGGTTTTGCTGTGCCGGTAACACATTTTTCATTAATGTAAGTTGCATGATTAACAGCAGTGGATCCAAGTAGTACAGCAGTTGGGTGGATATATCAATGAACATGTTTATTGTGAAGAATTGTGGACGGTGTCTAACTATAGGTGGCAGGGTTTCTTCCAGGTGATCTAAAAATCCTCTGTACAAATGGCAACTGCCCCAACCTATAATTGGCCTTTGCAGCAAGAAGCACATAAAAGGGTGATGCATGTCAAACCACAACAACGAAAAATTCCCAGCTCAACTTACCGTGTAAGCTGCAGATGCAACGTCACAGCGCACCCAGTACTATCTGCAGTTCTAACTCTTTCCATTTTGAGAGTCTCCACAGTTGGAACACATATATAACACTGGATATATTGAGGGCAGGTATTCCTGGAAGGAGCCCATCCCTCCTTAAAGGCACATGGGTGCACTGGACATCCAGCAAAAATCTTCCACTATTATAAAACTTAGCGGTTACACCAGGCTTGCAGGATATTTTGTACTCCATGTACTCTGTTTTTTTGAGGAAAAATCTAAAAAACTGTCTTTCCAAAAAAAATAAAAAGCAGTTCAGTGGATTGTTAAGTTCCAAAAACTGAATTGACCTTTTTATGGGGGGGGGGGGGGGGGTCTGACTCTGTAAAGATTTTAAAGACAAGATTTTTTGTGATGGGAAACAGCAAAATAAACTGGTACTACATAAAGAGATATATACATAAAAAAGCATAAACATGAAATTTGGTATTGCAAAACAGGCAAAAATCTGTAGTCTGTGACTTTTTATATATTTTTTTTTCTTGATGTAAAACACCAAAACTATACTTGAGATCCAGAAATATAGTGCTTGTGTCTAAAATGTGCAGTTAACTTAATGGTACCGAATATTGGTAAAACATGAAAGCATCATTAAGGTAGGAGGAAGTACAGATGAACAAATTGAGATACAATTATATTCTGTGTTGTCATTTTCTCTGCAGAGTGTAAGTCCTTCAACCATGACAATATGTCTTCTGACAGCTGTACGTGCTCCTCTGCAGGACACAATGTTTCTGTCTGGATTCACTCCGGTCTGAGACGTGACATGCATGCTGTCTAACCCTCCAACAACATGTACCACTGTACAACAGGGCTAAAAACCTAGAAATCATACTTTAGTTTTTTTTACACTGAGCCTCATAAACTGCTATAAAACCACTGTTTTCTTGTGAGACAAAGTAACAGTATATTGGGCCACTATTCCTATAAGATGAAACTGAACCTATTAGACAGGCATCAGAAATTAAAAGAGGAAAGCTCAGTAACAAAGCTAAAAATCTGTATTGCTTTAGTATGAAATTTTAATGGTGGCTATACATGCTTCAATAAATAACTGATTTATTTTTTTATCAATCTCTTCCAATAGGAATAACTGATCTATAGTAAACAACTCAACTCACTTGATCAATATGCCACACACCAGGAAGTGGATTTTGATCAAGTTAAATAGTTAAAAATGACAAGTTCACCTTTCGTAACATGTTACACCTATATTCAGGGCTATGAAAGCCCTGGCCCCACTCTCCCTCCCCCCTCCGATCTCCTGTTATGACAGCTAGCGGAAGATCTTCTCTCCCCACTAGCTGTCATAATTAAAAAAAAAAAAACATGGCTGTGTGGGGCCCTGCCCGCCTGGCCGTGTCACTCATTCACAGTATACTGTGAACAGCAAAACTACAAGCTCTGACAGTGTTTGCAGCTGTCAGCTTGTATTTCTCAATGAACTACCATGATGCTGTTGAGTTTTGTGGTAGTTAAATCGATTCTTTCTTTCAGTGTGTCTCCTCATACGAGGTACGAACAGACAGACACACTGAGAGGTCTGCAGGAGTCCTGCATGGCACTAGTGATCTGCTGATTGCTGATGCAATGCTTTCCAGACTCCCAAAACAAAAAATAGTAAATGCACATTTTTTTACCTGCAAAAAAATGTGCATTTATTATTTTTTGTTAAAAGGTGAACTTTAAGATACAATTGTAAATGATCAGCTGTACCTCTGTTTCTACCCATGCAATCTCATAATCTAATTGATCATATTCCACTCCAAGACTTAGACTGGGAGGGAATATTGGCATCAATAAACACAACACAGAAATGGGGGTTCTTCAAAAAGACTGTTTTTTAAAAGTTTAAAAGGCTAAAAATCAAACCTAAGTGGCTTACGGCCAAAGATAAAAAAGCTATAAAAGAGCTTTTATTAAATATAAAAAATGAAGGAACGCTATCATCATTTAAACGTTACAAAGAATATAACAGAATATGCAAAAAGTAAATTAGAGCCACAAAAATTTATTACGAACAACAGATTGCAAAAGATAGCAGGACAAACCCCAAAAAATTCTTGAAATATATTAATAGTAAAAAGGTCTGGTCCGAGCATGTAGGCCCTTTACAAAATAATCTAGAGTGGGTGACTGAGGACAAAGAGAAGGCAAATTTATTAAATACCTTCTTCAGCTCTGTGTATACAAAGGAGCATGGGGGAGCTCTTGTCCATAATGGGCATGGTATTGACACAGCTCCAGATGATCCACATTGACTCACAATTGATATGTTCCAAATATATTTAGACAGAATAAAGGTGAATAAAGCACCTGGACTGGATGGCATACACCCACGGGTCCTTGAAAAATAGAGCTCTGTCATTTCAAAGCCATTGTTTCTAATTTTTAGGGACTCTTTAATGACTGGCATAGTACCACCAGATTGGCATAAGGCCAATGTGGTGCCAATATTTAAAAAGGGGTAAAAATCTTTACCAGTAATTATAGACCTGTTAGTTTAACTTCTATAGTCAGGAAGATACTAGAACATTTAATAAAAGACCACATAGATGAGTTCTTGGTGGAAAAAAATATTTTAAGCAACAGACAGCATGGATTCCTGAAAGACAGAAGTTGTCAAACAAATCTGTTTGACACAGTTCCCCATACACGGCTAATGTGTAAGGTAAAGTCTACGGGCTTGGAAAAATCCATATATAAATGGATAGAAAACTGGCTAAAAGATTGTATTCAGAGAGTAGTGGTTAATGATTCATACTTTGAATGGTCTAGGGTTGTCAGTGGTGTACCCCAAGGTTCAGTGTTGGGACCCTTACTTTTTAATATACTTATAAACGATATAGGGTCTGGGATTAAAAATACCGTTTCAGTATTTGCAGATGACACCAAGCTGTGCAGTGGAATAACGTCATTACAGGATGTCTCCAACTTTCAAGCCGACCTCAATGCACTGTTTAATTGGGCAACTATGTGGCAAATGAGGTTTAATTTTGATAAATGTAAGGTTATGCACTTGGGGTCTAAGAATATGCATGCATCATACATACTAGGGGGAGTACAATGGGGGAATCAATGCTGGAGAAAGATCTGGGAGTTCTGGTAGATCACAAGCTTAATAATGGCATGCCAAGCTGCAGTTTCTAAATCGAGCAAAATCCTCTCGTATTAAAAGAGGTATAGACTCCAGAGAGAGAGGGGTATAATTTTCCCCCTGTACAAATCATTAGTAAGACCCCATCTGGAGTATGCAGTTTTGGGCACCAATTCACAAAAAGAACATTGGGGAACTGGAGAAAGTACAGAGAAGGACAACCAAACTGATACGAGGCATGGAAGAGCTCAGCTATGAGGAAAGATTAGAGGAACTGAATTTATTCTCTTTTGGGAAGAGGAGATTAAGGGGGGATTTGATCAACATGTATACATACATCAGTGGTTCATATAGTGAACTTGGTGTAGAGTTATTCACCCTGAGGTCATCACAGAGGACAAGGGGACACTGTTTAGGTGCGGAGGAAAAGAAATTTAATCTCCAAACACGGAAAGGTTTCTTCGCAGTGAGAGCTGTGAAAATGTGGAATAGACTCCCTCAAGATTTGGTTCTGGACAACTCAGTGGATTGCTTTAAAAACGGCCTGGATTCTTTCTTGCATACACAGAATATAACTGGATACTAACATTTATGGGTAAAGTTGATTCAGGAAATATCCGATTGCCTCTCGGGGGATCAGGAAGGAATTTTTTTCCCCTGCAGGAGCAAATTAGTTCATTCTGTGCTGGGTTTTTTTTGCCTTCCTCTGGATCAACTGTGGGTGTAGGATTATAACCTTTTTTTTTTAATGGTTGAACTGGATGAACTTTTGTCTTTTTTCAGACAGACTAACTATGTAACTATATTCATGAACCCAGTGCTTCTGATCACTAAGAAACGACTGATAGTAATCTTTCCTGGCCGATTGACTATCAAATTGAGTTTAAATCAATTGTAAAGAGAAGTTAAGGCTGCTTGATTGTTTGCAGCTTTTATTACTTTCGTACATTGATTGCATGTAAAAAAAAAAAATCCAATGGTGTATGGCCACTATACATCTTGCAAACTGAATAGAAAAACTGACAAATGTTTCATATTATTGTAGATGCTACAGTAACAATGTTTAGATCATTAATATTCAGAGTCATGCTAAATTGGTTTCAATTGCATGGATAAACAGTTGTTTTTGGATTTGCTATACACAATTTAATATGTTTTGTATCTTTTCACATAGACCTTGAATGTTAAGCCAATGAATATCAGAGTACATTTCTTATTGTTTGTCATTTTAAAGACTGACAGGAATGTAAATGAAATCCTTGGTTTCTTGATGAAAACCCTCCAAGCCATATGTTTTTGAAGTGACAGACACACAATAGTAGCCATCAAGTATTAGACATAAATAAAGCTTACAGTTTCATAGCACACGGCTCCTGCAAAATGTCGGATGATAAAGCCCTCATCGTCTCGCACATTTCGGTGAACAGTGAGCTTGGATTTTCTGGGGATCTGCAATACAAGTAGAAGAAATTGCCATGCAGTTGCTTATTCCATCATGCACAAACCATTTTTTTTATTACTATATACTTAAGATTTGTATGCGACAAGGTCTCAATGCATCAAGTTTTTGCAAAGCAAAAAAAAAAAAAAAAACAAGTGAACTGGATGGCAGTATAATCTATACTTGTTCTCACTTGGAAAACATTAGAATAATGCTTCCTATTTATCAGGCTAGAGACTAGGGCCCTAATGTACCTTTATGGTCAGTGGTTAGACACAGAGCAGAGTGTACAGTGTTATTTCCCTCCTCTTATGCATGAAGAATGCACCTTCTAAAAGGAATTCATTAGGAACAGAGCAGCATCCTATGCTACAGTCATAAAATCAGACTTTATCAAGGATAAAATCATGTCATTTGTTTGGCAGCTCTGTAAGCTGGCTTTTCCTGCTTGTGAAAAACACAGATTATACTTACATTTCTAGAAAAGCCTTATGGGAGGTGTAAAAAAAAATTATATATAAAAAATCTTATTGCAAACTTGGGAACTTAAATATTTAAAGGTAAATTATACAATTAAAGTGTTAGTTGACTTTTACAGAATGTAAAGGTTAACAAACCTTAGACACCCTCGTGATCCCCACTGTACTTACCTCCAGAGTTGCTGAGCTGTCAGCAACCCCACAGCTGCTCCAGGGGTCTGAGGATTTCAAATCCCCACTCTTTTCATCAGAGCTTTCAGGATAGATGGATTTGGATTGGTCAGCACTTTTACATTGAGGTGGTAATTACAGAAGGGACTGGAGGGGGCATGGGGGTTGGGAGCTTTTTCTGTAAAGGTGATCTAAACCTACTGACCAAATGCTGTAAGTTATTTTAGTTCACCTTTTAACAAAACTTTATGGTCACAGCTTACCTTTTGACATAAAGACTAAGTTCATGGTGGATCCCTTTTCAGAGTGTGGCTAAGCAACCGCTATCAGATGTTCAGAAGGTGATCCTGCAACCTCTTGAATGGCAATTTTCAAAGGGACTATTTTTACTGTGACAGTGTCACAACGAGCATTTGGCTCACAGTTGCAGCACAGGCCCAATGACTTAAATGGGCAAGTTTGACAGGCAGTGCCTCCCTTAAATGTGACATGCGCCATTAAGATTGCTGCAGAATATTGCATTGCAGCCATGGCATGTGAGCATACCAGTATGGCTGTATGGTAGGCTTTAGATAAAAATATAAATAAAACCGCAGTTGAACAGCATGTTTTTCCGCCCATCCCCATGTGAATGAGACCATAAAACTAGCAAGCATAAATCAAGCAAGCATTTGAAGGCAAAAGCTTTACTACTTGTAAGCATGTAAAAAAAAGAAAAAAAAATATCCACTGTACATATGTATAGAAATGTATATATGTATTGATTAAATAAAATCACAATGTTGTAACACGATAGTGCCAGCTAAACTGTGGGCCAGACAATAGAAAATACAGACTAGCCTGATGTTTGTTTCAACTTGAAAATTATAAAAGGCCTTGTGTGGCCCCCCACACTTCCAGAAGGCCAACACAAGAGCAGCTACTTTTCATACTTTATAGCGCATTGCAGCAAGTTAGACAGCTTATTCAAAATTAATGGGCTGTAATGCATCTCAGTGCTGAGCAAATTTTAATCCTGTTGTATTTTATACAACAATACACACTGAAAACAAAGTGGCAGTAAAATAAGCACCAAATTTTGGTGTCAGTGACAGTAACTCCCAGTACTGGTGTCAATGGACACAATAATAACACCCCGTGCATTGGTGCCAGTGACCACAGTAAAAATCCCCATTGGTGTCACAGTGGTCAAAATAACCCTCGAAAAAGTGACCACAATAATAACTCTCAGTAACATTTTAACAAGGAAAGTCCTACAGATTTGAGATGGCTGAAGCAATCATCAAAAACATATAGGGATCTTCAAACCTTAAAATCAGATTCAAATGCTACAAGTTATTGAACTGACTCAACATGAAAAACCCAAAATGCTTACTAGTAATGAAGAAGCAATGAAAATCATTTGATTAAGAAATAATACAGTACTGCAAAGTGGTGACTTACAGTAAGTCGGAAGTGGTCCTTGTGCTTTTGGTGAACAACACTTGTGAAATGTTGGTCGCTAGGCTGGGGCAACCTATTCTCTTCATCCAGGATATCAAGGACGCCAACTAGTTTAGATTCAATAAGATCTGAAAAAAAAAAAAAAAATGTGCTGAAAATATTTTAACACAGCAAGCTAGAGAAAAAAAACTTAACAATCCAATGTGAACTACCATTGTTAAGGTTCTAACAATTTTTCCACTAAATAATTGTCTGTGGAAAGAGATATGCACATCTGTCTCAAGAAAACAAAAATGGAAATTAAAACCAAGGTAGCATTTTAACTATTCAAGACAGTGTGCACTAAACCATTTTTTACAGTTCGGTATATGCTTCTTTCCCTAAAGCTTTACAGAGTCTCTGACACCCAAAAAAAAAAAAAAAAGAAAGGAAAAAAGATAAAATAAAAACCATTCTCTCGATTGCACTAACCTATACAGTCCTGGTTATCCACATAGTGCACTTCATTAACACCAAGGCCTTCTCGCTGGTATAATTCCTGTTCCTAAATAAGAAAGACACAAAATGGTCTATTTATATCATTTTCACACAACTTTAACCCAAGATTCACACATCGATTTCCAATTAAATTTATTTAGAAAAATGTGTCAATCTTGAGTGAAAACATTTACAAATAGACCCTACAATATGGGTAACATATTGTATAGCAGATGAAAATTTCATGCACCCAAAATCAAATCTAAGTGACAAGGAAACAAAAGCAAACAAAAAGGTGCTAACCACACCTCATCTCTTTCATTAAAAAAAAAATTATCCTGAATCATAAGAGAATATCGGCATTGGAGCACTAAGTTTATTGACACTACAAAACCTCATCATTTATTGCTTACTGGTAAGATGGGGGTCACAACCCCATTGATTGAAGTCATGTGTGAGGTAGAGCGCGACCCTTCCATGCCAGCCACCAGCTCCTAACCCTGCTTGTCGCTTCTCAGACCTTGGATCAGAGCAGCAATTGTAGAGCTGAGGAAAGTCCTCTCATGCCTTACAATGCCATATGACACAATCGAGAGGGGACCTAGGAGAAAGTCCCTTACTCTACTGGGCACTGCTGTGAGAGAAAGAGGGTGTCTGCTGTAAAGGAGGATGGGCTTTCATTTGAAGTTCTCCATGGCTATTAAAGTTGGATATGACAGAGTTGGTGCATCATTCTTCCAGTGATCTGGCTACATGAAACTAAATTGCTTCTGTTATGCCCTTTTCACATTGGGAAGAATCCGCTTTGCTCAGCAGAGAATCTGTCCGCTGAACCTCTACTGAGCAGAGAAGGCAGATGACAGGTCCGTGTCTGCTCTGCATAAATGGGACAGCCCACTCTGCTCTATGGGCGATCGAGTGTAAATGGACCAGCTGTCCACTTACATGCAACTGCCCTCTGATCCGATCTGCCTAGACAAGGGGAAATGGATCCCCTTCTATTTTTTATTTTTTTTTGATTGGCGGTAGGTGGGTGTAAAAATGGGCACAAGTCTGTTTACACCCACTGGTCCATAAAAATACATGGACAATCCGATCAGGTCTGTCTGAAAAACTGACAGATGGACCTGATCAGATCGCCAGTGTAACAGTGGCCTTATGCATATGTTAGCTCACTAAACATTTCCTTGCCTAATAAGTACCTACGTTTCATGTACACCTATAACTGAATAGATTTAAAGAAAACCCTTAAAGAACATAGCCGGATTCTGGGATAAAATGTTCCATTAAATCTTAACATCTATCACTAGCATGGACATGAGCATAAAATGAATAGGGTATTCCTCATTCCAGCTAGCAGAGTTGTAGTTGAACAGATCAACAGCAAAAAAGCACTGAAGATTTAACTAATCTGTGGATGGATAAGGTTGTGCTAAAATACTAATAATAAAGGATAAGATAAAGCCCTATTTATCCTTGTTCAAATGAAAATCATACTCACAGCTGAGAATCTTTAATGCTTTTTAATAATCTTTAATACAAAAATAGTCCTGTTGGGCAACGCTACAACTTACTAAATGTCCTACAGCATATGAATTTAATAAAAAAGAATATGTGCCAATAAAAGCTCGAAATGAACTGACCTTGATGATTATAAGGAAATTGGATTGGATGGATTATATGGATTGTGGGAGAACAAACGTAAAGAGAAAACAAGCAATTTATTTACATAATGTACGGATTTCCCCTAAATTTACCAACAAACAGAAAGCTGATATCTGCATAGTTTTTTTACATGTTAGTACACATTTGTACCACTAGCTTATCCCCATTGTTGCTTGGTGTGTGCCTCAATGATTAGACCTTAGATGTCTACAGGGAATCATTTGACATATGGGCCAGGAAATGCTATAGGAATTAGAAAATGCGGTGCTATGTGCTGAACATAAGAAAAAAATATATGGAAAAATGGATCTTCCTTCTCTAAGCATCTAGGTTTTTTTTAAATTACATGTTTTAGGTCACATAGAAATCCAGTAGATTAAAAAAAAAAAAAATATTAAATAAAAAAAAAAAAGAAATAATCCACTACACAAATAACATGGTGTGTTTATTCAATATACTCCTTACCAAACATAAAAACTTATACTAAGAATTAAAGAAGATGTTTGAAGTACATAAAAAAAAAACATAATTCATACTCACCTCACGTCAGCTTAGTCTGGCCAAAGAAAATTGCTTGATTCCCCATCATCACTGGCTGAGAATCCCTCACACTGCGCTATTGTAGTTGAACAGCATGAGGTTTCCCCGCCATCAGAATACAATGATCACTGCTGGAAGCGATAGTCACAGGCAGTGATCATATGGAAAAAATACCCAACAAACTAGTTGTACTGAGGGCGATAAACAGATGGACTTTAGTACACCCAGCCTGCTGCCCATAGATGGATCAAATTTCAGCCAGCTTGTGCTGAGTTAGACTAATTTCAATCTGTGTATCACCTGCTTTAGACAGAGAATTGATCATATTAAAGCTGATTGCTCTGTTCACTCTGCTCTGCTACTCCAGCATTCCTTGATGTGGCACGAAAGAGAGGGGGTGGGCATAGTTGGCTTTGGCTCTCAGTCACATGTCAATCAGGCAGCTGGGTGAATCCTGACAATATAGTCAGGTTCCTTCCAGAGCCTAGAGCGGCTCTGTAACATCAACTGAGAGTAGGCAATAGACTGTTATTAGCTGATTCTTTGTCACAGGATAGCAAAGCCAAGTGCGCTCCTGTGACCCAGAAGACAAAATATGGCTAAAAGTTCTCTTTACAATCAATTTCCCTCTTTTGTTGGAGGGCACAAGTTTACCCACAGGAAAGTCACTGAAGCACAGGAAGGGCACAACCACTAAGAAAAAGGGGAAGTTCTGGCTCTTGCTCCTCCCCCCCCCCCTCTTCTACCACATTTTGAACTTTTTTGAGTGGGGGGGAGCAGGTATGTACAGTGGGGATCGAACGTTTGGGCACCCCAGCTAAAAATTTGTATTAATGTGCATAAAGAAGCCAAGAGAAGATGGAAAAATCTCCAAAAGGCATCAAATAAAGATTAGACATATAATGTCAACAAAAGTTAGATTTTATTTCCATCATTTACACTTTCAAAATAACAGAAAATAAAAAAATGGCGTCTGCAAAAGTTTGGGCACCCTGCAGAATTTATAGCATGCACTGCCCCCTTTGGCAAGTATCACAGCTTGTAAACGCTTTTTGTAGCCAGCCAAGAGTCTGTCAATTCTTGTTTGAGGTATCTTTGCCCATTCTTCCTTACAAAAGTCTTCCAGTTCTTTGAGATTTCTTGGCTGTCTGTCATGCACTGCTCTTTTAAGGTCTATCCATAGATTTTCAATTATGTTGAGGTCAGGAGATTGTGAAGGCCATGGCAAAACCTTCAGTTTACGCCTCTTGATGTAATCCCCCGTGGATTTCGAGGTGTGTTTAGGATCATTATCCATTTGTAGAAGCCATCCTCTCTTTAACATCAGCTTTTTCACAGATGGCATCAAGTTACCATCCAAAATTTGCTGAAATTTTATTGAATCCATATTTCCTTCTACTCGTGAGATGTTCCCTGTGCCACTGGCTGCAACACAACCCCAAAGCATGATTGATCCAACCCCATGCTTAACAGTTGGACAGAGGTTCTTGTCACTAAATTCTGTGCCCCTTCTTCTCCAAACGTACCTTTGCTCATTCCGGCCAAAAAGTTCAATTTTAACCTCATCGGTCCACAGAACTTGTTTCCAAAATGCATCAGGCTTGTCTATATGTTCATTTGCAAAGTTCAAACAATGTTTTTTGTGGTGAGGACGTAGAAGAGGTTTTCTTCTGATGACTCTTCCATGAAGACCATATTTGTACAAGTATCTCTTTATAGTGGAATAGTGTACCACAACTCCAGTGTCGGCCAGATCTTTCTGGAGGGATCGTGCAGTCAAACGTGGGTTTTGAATTGTTTTTCTCACAATCCTGCGAGCTGTTCTGTCTGATATTTTTCTTGGTCTTCCAGATCTTGCTTTAATTTCCACTGTTCCTGATGACTGCCATTTCTTAATTACATTCCGAACAGAGGATATTGACATCTGAAAACGCTTTGCTATCTTCTTATAGCCTTCTCCAGCTTTGTGAGCGTCAACTATTTTCAGTTTCAGTTTTCTAGACAACTGCTTAGAAGAACCCATGGTGCTGATTGTTGGGGCAAGGTCAGATGAGTCTGGGCATTTAAAACCTTTGAGACTGACATCACCTGGTCTTCCCAGACGATGATTGAGAACAATCCATGACACTGGCAGGTCTCAGCTTGGCAAAGGGGGCAGTGCATGCTATAAATTCTGCAGGGTGCCCAAACTTTTGCAGATGCCATTTTTTTGTTTTCTGTTATTTTGAAAGTGTAAATGATGGAAATAAAATCTAACTTTTGTTGACATATTATAAGAATGTCTAATCTGTAATTTGCTGCCTTTTGGAGATTTTTCCATCTTTCCTTGGCTTCTTTATGCACATTAATACAATTTTTTAGCTGGGGTGCCCAAACTTTCGATCCCCACTGTAGTTTTGAAACCTGCACCCACTTCCACGGAAGCCCCCCCTCCACTCACCACGTCGCATGTCCCAGAAGTCTCTGTGACCATTCACAGCCAACTGGGAAGCTGTAAGGAGTTACAGCCTTGTGCCCTCAGTTAACATGCCAGCACCAGGACACAAAAGACTGCTGAAGAAACTGGTTTGGATAAGGATGGTGCTGAATTCCTGGAGTGGTTAGTGTCAGTTTATTAAAAGTCAGCAGCTACAGGTTTTGTAGCTGCTATCTTTTAATTTTTAAAGAAATAACTGAAGAACCTCTTCGATATAAATACTTATTTGAAACCCTGTTAAATTGATCCTTACATACACAAAACAAATGTGCATTATCATATGCCATACTAAAGGAAGGTCTGCTTCTCAATTTTACAAGTAAAGTTTAAACTGCATACAACAGTAAATTTATGAAATTTTAATAAAGCTGTGCGTATTTGAAATA